TGTTTCTGCATTTTGTCCTGCACCTCCAGCCAACACTACTTGGATTTAATTTTTTGAAGCAATTTATGCTGTTCTTCTGGATATAGCATTCTGTGTGTGAAAAAGGCATTCATGTGTTCTGGCCTGTCTGCAGAACAAACAACCACTCAGATTTTTACTGATGCCTGAAGGTTTAAGGAATTTATTTTGAAAAACATGACAACAACCAGCATTCTGGATACAAGAACAGATGAATTCTGGTGCACAGCAAGCTGTTTCTCAAATTAAAATTCAAGTTGTATCAATATGTTAAAATTCAGTAATCAAAATAATATGGAAATGATCATGCAGTTGTTTTCTGCTGAATTTTCCAAAATAATGTTTTAGCTTGAATATTCACTTAATCTTTATCTCATTCTTTATAATGCCAAAGTACTAATTTTTTTTCAATAGGAAAAAATAACTAGAAGTTTTTTTATAAAATAGTAGCAGCTTTTGCATGGGATTGATGCAGACTTTAATCTCAGCCCGTTCCAAAAGGTTAACTGGTGGCTTGTTGTTGTTACTGTGATTTGCAGCATGAAGCTGTGTGGCACTGTCAGTGTAATGTGCCATTTTGTCTTTCCCCTTCAGCCCCAGCCTTGCCAAGTGCTGCCCTTGTCTGTCCCATAAGAACACTTTTCAGGTGGTCTCTGAGGGAACTTCTCCACTGTTTTCCAGGAGACTTGAGATTTGGACAGGTTTCTGTGGTACTTTTCAGCAGAGACTCACGGGGTGAGGTCTGGGTCTGTTACTGGGCTGCAGTTAGTTGTTGGCTGCAGATCTCAAAGGAGTAACAGTAATTTCATACCAATTATTCCTTTCCCTTATTAACCCAAGAGTTTTGGGGAGACAAATTTCCACATTCTGTATTTCTGTAAGAGATTGAAGCAGTGTTTGAGCTCAGGTGTGAATGTCCTTCTTACTTTATGATCTTAACTGTGAACATGTTCCGTGCTGCAGTTAAAGGTTATTAAAGACAATGGCATCTTGTACAGTTGAGCAATATTTAATTATAGAGTTCAGCTCTAAGTGTATGGAAAGACTGTGTTAAACGTCTTCCCTCCCAGCTTCTGAGTAGGCTTATTCCATCCCACCAGAAATAACTCAGTGGTTTAATAGTCCCATTAGTAGTTTGGTTAACAACAAAAGCCTGAGCACAGCTAACTATAGGTTGTGTCTTGGTTTTATCAATAAAAGGAAGTATGGGCAAATAAAAGTTACTTCTCTCTTACACTGTTACTCTGTTGTTATCTGAACTCCCTCAATATTAGTGGGAGTACTGATGACCTGGACATTAGCAGTAGGATGAGTTCTCCTGTGCTTGTTGGAATGTTATAAAGGCTGAGCTATAAATGCTATAAAGGCTGTGAAGGCTGAGCTATCTTGCAGCAGAAGTGGAGAGCAGAGAAAAAGGAATCCTATTTAAAGTTGCAAGGCAAATTGGTGAATTCCTCTTTTGATCTTCATCACTGCAGACAAGTTCCTACTTTCCATCTGCTTATTTCATTCATTTTCCTTAGCATCTTTCTTTTACAATTCTTCTAAAGCACATATACATATATTAAGTTCTGCCCTTCATTTATTCTTTTGTCATTGTTTCCATTTCACTTTCCCTGTGTTTCATTCCTGTATCTTTCTTGTTTAGACCAAGTGGAGGATCCAGCTGGCCGTAGCAGCCATGTAGGACCCTTCAGGAACCTGATGGTAAGTGCACGTGTGTACTTATACTCAGGCTTCCACCAGGTTCTGTGTTCAGAGGCATTGCCCCGCTCCTGCAGGCTTCAGTTCGTTCCTGACCTCTGAAACAATAAGAAAACTAAGGGACAGGCCTTGGACTACTCATTGATACCCTTTATATCAGCAGTAGGTTGTGTTTTTATTGGAAATCTGCAGGAAGAAAATTACATAAATCTTCAGGTTTATATGGATTTTAAAAGCACTTTGAGAACTCAGGAGAGAAAGTCTTGCAACAGCAGTTAAATTTCTTCAAAAATGTCTGAACTCCAAATATATGAAAGCTGGGAGAGCATATCAGTGAAGTATCACCTATTACTATGTTCTTAAATTCTCTTCCTGGCCATGTGCCATGAGTGGTCAGGACTTTGAAATTGTGCATCTGGGACAGTCAATGTCATGCTTGAGTACAGTGAATTCTTTGAACCTTTTCAAAGAAAGCTGCAACCTAGAAGATGAACAAACTAAAACTGGTAAAAGAGATCATCTACAATGGTTTGGTGTCTCTCATTGATATGTGTCAGAAATTGATCTGACACATCTGAAATGTTGTGTGTGCACAAGAAGTTTGTTCACTGTTCAGAGAAAGGGCAAGTCGGGTACTGGGTGAATTCTCTCTTCAAATGCATCAGTGCTCAAATGCCAAGAACTTGAAACATCTCCAGCTGTATCATGGAGCAGGTTACATCATGAGCAAGTGGCATCTCTTTTTAGGACTGGCAGAATTTGCAAAGGATCTGCTTTCCATCAGTAGCATGAGGTATGTGACATAATTACCTTGATTTTGTGTGAAAATCCTGCTATTGTAGTGATTTCTCAGATTAAAATTGGGTTTGAGGTACTGTAAATTTTATATTCTTTATGGATGACACTCTGAAACATACCTGCATTCTTTAGCATTTGGGATATGTGTTGGTGCCTTTTCATACTTTAGCTCAGCCTTGAAAGAGCACAGTATATTGCCAGTATTGTTAGAAAAAGAAATTAATTTGGTCTTGGTTTGAAGACTTTGACAGTGACCTGTTTTTATGCTGAAATTCACTCTACTGTAGAGTTAGATGCAGAATTGCCCTGTGACTTCATCTGCAATACATTGGACACTGCAGTGTGGGGGGAAAAGTGTCTCTGTGTGCATGCCAGGTTTGGCAGGTCTGTGCACCAGCCTTTTAATTCTTGTTTCTAGTCTCACCTGTCGAGAGACATTAATCAAAAATTTTGTTGGTTTTAGGTCAAGATACTGATAGTGGTCTGCAGATGATAAGTGGTCTGCAAAAAGGCTGAGAGTTCTTAGGGTTCTAGGAATTAGGTATGATTTGTTGTGCCACTCATAAAGCGTATTGTGATGCATGTTTGATTCCTAGGAGTGTGTTGAAATGTTACATTTCCACTTCTTCCCTAGAATTGGGACTGTTGGATTGTGTTACTGTACATTCCCAGAGAATTTCAAGTGACTTGGGAGATACTTCTGGAAACTTCTTTGATATCCTTTATACTCAGATCTTCATAGTGTTGATGTAATTAAGAACATTAGAGGTGCTGATAATAAAAAAAATGGTGTTCAAATTGGACTTTCACTATCTTATCATGTAAAGAAAGATTTATCTTCCTAATGCCTATGTGAGCACCCAAATGTGTGCTGTCTTCTGACAGTTGCAGGTGGTTGGTATAAAAGCAAAATTTAATGTTGCATCGTTCAAACAACCCAGTATTGTTCCATTATGGCAGGTTAGACATGGGCATCATAACAATAATTGAGGATATTCAGAGAAAAATGCTAGTTCTCTTTGGGAATGATGTGTGTGTCTCTTCCAAAGGTGACAAAATTCAGTCTGAGTGGCTATTGTCAGGTTATAAGACTAAATTCTGTTCATTAGATAAGAAATTCAAAGAAGTTTATTATATACATAGAACTGAAACATATTGGAATTTGGGGATGGCATATGAAATCTGAGCTCCTTGAGAGGAAATATAGGTAATTACTTAGTTTTTTCAAATCAAAACAAGTGTTTCCTTCTAAAGCTGAGGCTGTCTGAGCTGTTCTTTTTGGGGGGTATGTGTGCTTGAAACTTCTTGGAACAGAGGAGCATTTTTTAAAGGCATTTCAGTTTCTTGGCTCAGAATGTGAAAAATATTTTCAAGGGATAAAAAGGAGGAGTTTGTTGACAGGATTGTGACGTGGAAGAATGTGCTTCTAACTAGGAAATGGATTTAGGGCTGCAGTGGACATTTCTGATCAGAGGGAATGGGCAGTGTGTTACAAAGAAGCATTTTGTGTGTTAGAGGGGCAAAGGAGGAGTTTGGATTGCTGCTTCTGGACTGTTCTTCCCAAGAGTTGTGTGTAGAACCGTGGAGTTTCAGTTGTGTTTTCTATATTCTGTGTGGAGAGTACAGTCTGCAATGAAGTGAATGAAAATCCGTAAACTTTCATTTGTTACTACACACCCCATATCATAATTTCTGTATGTTATAGGCCTGAATATGTAAGATTAATGGAAAAAATTAGCAGTACTTTGTAGTGCAGTAGAAAATTAAGTTTTCAGTGTGTTTACATCTTACAGTACTGGTCAGCTCTTTTCATATTAATGCCCTTTTGTATTCATCATCCTCTGCAACTAATACATGCTGCTTCATTTTGCTAACAGAAAGTGATAACTTGAAAGTGGTGTTTGTGTCAGGACCCATCAAAATGCCTCCATCATTTTCTGTGACCCAGTTGCATCTCATTTGGTTGTACTGCTTTTGCCCTGTTTGCCATGAGAAGATTGAAACTCATGCTGCTTTCAATCTTCTCATGATGTTATTACTTCATTGTTTTTATCTTTACTCTCCTCATCATTCAGAATGTTGCTACAACTAGAATAAACCTCAGTGGGTTTCTGTTTTGTAAGGTCTTCCAATTAACATTAGGATTAATAGTATATGAAGAAGTTTTCTATTTTCCATATACCTCTGTGCGATACAGGAATTTAGTGGCCATATTAAGGCATTGGGTAACTGCACGATGTGAGCTGCTTAACCGAGGACAGGTAGTTTGTTCTTGCTTTGAAAGTGAGGAAAGTATTTCAGTGTCAGAATTTGTTTACGTGAGTGCTGTCTGCTCTCCTAATCAGTCATTTGTACTCCTCAGGAAAGCAGGGTCTCTACAGGAGTTTGTTACACTCCAAAGCTGAGGGTTTAAATCTGCCACTCATCTATGACAAATAAAAATTGTTAAGCAGGAATAATAAATGCTTTTTTCCCACTAGGAAAGAAGAAGACTCAAGAGGGTAAAAACAAGGGAAAGAAGGCAGCAGAAACAAAACAGAAAAAGACTGATTTGGATTCTACTTCTGCAGAGATGAGGGATTCTAAAGAAGGTGAGTTCTCAAGCGTCTTACTTTTTCCTTCTATTTATCTTTCTGAATCAAAGGATGCTTGTCATGTTTAGTACATTAGCAGGTTATCTTACTGTAACAAAGTGAACATGTTTGTATCACTTACCCCAACTAGTTAGAAACTTGGCTATTAGAAGCATGTCATTAAACATACAACTCTGACCACAGGAAAAACTAATGTGCTGCAAAATTTAGACATAAACCCAAACTCCTTAGAGGATAATAGCAGAGCAAAATCCTTATTCTAGTGTCTTTGGAGCTTAGTTTCATGGTCATTATTTATTGCTAATTAACAAAGCCCGTACCAAGGGGGAAAAATACAGTATAAATTCTTTTGACCCATAACTCTTCCATTCCTTCCCTCTGTTGTCCCTTCTGCTTGCACTGTTCAGGTATCTTATGGCCCAGATAAGGAATGGAAAAGGATTTTTTGCTCTATAATGTACCCACTTAGGCAACATTGTGGGGATTGGCAGCAAAGGTGTTTTCCTAGAATCACAGAATATTTTGGGCTGGAAAGGACCTTAAAGCTTATCTTCTTCCAATCCCCTGCCATGGACAGGGACACCTTTCACTAGACAAGATTGTTCAGAGCCCCATCCAACCTGGCCTTATTTTTTCAGCAATGGATATACCTGAGAACAGGTAGGTAGGACTTGCATACAGGAAAACATCCATCCACATGAGTAAATAACTGAGAAGTGATGATATTGTCTTGGGTCAGGAACATTGGATATGTTGTGCTAGAGGAAAAAACGAGAAGAAAGGTGTAATATATCCTGAGGAGTTTGGTAAAAATATCTCATGCTTTTCTTTACTGCACTCTTGTGTTCCAGCTCATAAAGAGGAAGATGAAACGCCTTCTGTTTCTGCCGTGCTGTCTCTGGAACAAACAGCTGTGATTCAGGAAATGGTAAATCAAGATGTACTTCCAAAGCTGATGATCCCCAGTCCAGCCAACGAAACACAAGTGGTAACTGAAGACAAACAAGGAGAAGCAATAAACTGTGCATCAGATGATTTAGATGACGATGAAGAGGAGGATGAAGAAGAGGAAGATGAAGAGGAGATAGAAGATACCAATATGCCTAAAGAAAATGCTGAAATGCCTTTGATATGTGAGGAAAAGTTGGACTCCATGGAAGAACAAAAGAGTACATCAGAGGAATCTCCAGAGAGCTCTCCAAAGAAAAAACTTGTGGTGAAAATTCCAAAAGCAGAGGGGGAATCCAACGGTGATGTTCAGGAAACATTCATGTTTCCTTGCCAGCACTGTGAGAGGAAGTTTACAACAAAGCAAGGACTTGAGCGCCACATGCACATCCATATATCCACCCTGAACCACGCGTTCAAGTGTCGGTACTGCGGGAAAGCCTTCGGCACTCAAATCAACAGGCGGAGGCACGAGCGGCGCCACGAGGCCGGGCCGAAAAGGAAACCGTTCCTGACACTGACCTCGTCACAACACCTCGATAACGTTGCTGATAACCAAGTGATTGTGGATGATGGTCTTAAAGATGACCTGAATGGTTCCAATCTTGTGCAAGACTCTGTTGTCTTGGATTCTGAGAAAGTTTCCCAGGAGATGTCAAACTCTGCGTTTGCTGAGGAAAACAAGGAGCCCAAAGAATTGCATCCATGCAAATACTGCAAAAAGGTTTTTGGTACTCACACCAACATGCGGAGGCATCAGCGTAGGGTTCACGAGCGTCATCTTATTCCCAAAGGTGTCAGAAGAAAAGGGTTCTTTACTGAAGAGCCACCTCTCCCGACAGAGCCAGCCCCAGCAGTCCAGAGTGTGTACATAGCAAGCACAGAAATAGAAGAGGAAGGTGAAGGAGATGATGTCTACCTTATGGATATATCCAGCAATATCTCTGAGAATTTAAACTATTACATTGATGGTAAAATTCAGTCCAACAGCAGCACTAGCAATTGTGACGTGATTCAGATGGAGTCCAACTCTGCAGACTTGTATGGATTGAATTGTATAATCAGTCCAGTCACAGTGGAAATTTCCACAAATTTAAAGGTTACACAAACACATGTGAATGAATCTCCTAAGGAACCCTCTAGCAGTGGGAGCAGTGAATCCAAAAAGAGAAGAACTGCCAGCCCTCCTCTTGTACCAAAAATAAAAACTGAAATAGACCCAGAACCTATAACTCCTACTAGTTCTTTAAATCTTCCTCTTAGCATTTCAACAGAAAGCTTAACTTTTCATAAAGAAAAAGGGGTTTATTTGTCATCAAAATTAAAGCAGCTTCTTCAGACACAGGACAATAAGAAGATAACTCCATCGAGTGAAATCCCTAAAATAGGACCTTCTGTTACATCATCGTCTGTTTTGCCTCCAGTATCCAGCAGGTTTAAAAGAAGGACCAGCTCGCCTCCCAGTTCTCCACAGCACAGTCCAGTGCTTCGAGACTTTGTCAAATCAGGTGAGGGAAAAACTGTGTGGAACGATAATGTTCGGAGTTCAAAAATGCCAAAGTTAGAAAGCCACAGCAACTCACCTGCTTGGAGCTTGACTGGGAGGGAGGACAAAGAGACTTTGAGCCCTCTTTGCTTTGAAGAATATAAAATATCAAAAGACTGGACAGCAGCTCCGACTTTTGGCAATGTGTGCAACCAGCAGCCATTGGATTTATCCAGTGGTATGAAACAAAGGTCTGATGTCAAAAGCAAGACTCAGGTTCCCTGGGAATCTGTTTTAGATCTAAGTGTGCATAAGAAACCTTGCAGCGATGCTGAAATTAGGGAATACAAAGAAAATTCCACACATCCAACGTGTAGTGGTGTCAAGAAGAAGAAACCCACCACTTGCATGTTGCAGAAGGTTCTGCTGAACGAGTACAACGGGACAGAAGCAGCCCCAGACAGCGCCGCGGGCACGGACAGCCCCAGCAAGGCCCTGGAGCCTCAGGCAGAGCCCGACGTGGATCCCACACTCTCGGCGTCGCCTTCCACTGACGCTCAGCCCCTCGGCTCCTCCGCTTCCCCCGTGCCACCGGCGGCCGCTGCGCCTGCCGCGTGCCAGCTGCCCCCGCTGCTAACGCCCACCAACCCCCCGTCCCCGCCGCCCTGCCTGCCCGTGCTGACAGTGGCCACCTCGCCGCCCCCACTGCTCCCCACGATGCCCTTACCCATTCCAGATGTCTCTGCCAGTGCCACTAACACTTCCTCCTGTCCCTCGCCACTCTCCAACACTACTACCCAGTCCCCGCTACCAGTTCTGTCACCTACAGTTTCTCCTTCTCCATCCCCTGTCCCTTCTGTCGAACCTCTTATTTCTGCTGCTTCACCTGGCCCCCCTACACTGTCTTCCTCATCTTCTTCCTCCTCTTCCTCCTCTTTCTCATCCTCTTCCTCCTCATCATCTCCATCTCCACCTCCTCTTTCTGTAGTTTCTTCTGTTGTTTCCTCTGCTGATAACCTTGAAAGTTCTCTCCCAATAATAAAACAGGAAGAAGCTGAAAGCGAGCAGCAGAAAGCGAGAGAAGATGCTCAGACTTCAAGTGAATCAGGAGTGGTGCAGGAAACATTCAACAAGAGCTTTGTGTGCAATGTCTGCGAATCACCTTTTCTTTCCATTAAAGACCTAACAAAGCATTTATCCATTCATGCTGAAGAATGGCCCTTCAAATGTGAATTCTGTGTACAGCTTTTTAGGGATAAAACAGACTTGTCAGAACATCGCTTTCTGCTTCATGGAGTAGGGAATATCTTTGTTTGTTCAGTGTGTAAAAAGGAATTTGCTTTTTTGTGCAATTTGCAACAGCATCAACGGGATCTCCATCCAGACAAAGAGTGCACACATCATGAGTTTGAAAGTGGGACTTTGAGACCCCAGAATTTTACTGACCCCAGTAAGGCGAACACAGACCACATGCAGAACCTGCCAGAAGATTCTTTGGAACCTTCAAAAGAGGAGGAAGATGAAGATCTAAATGATTCTTCTGAAGAGCTTTATACTACTATAAAAATAATGGCTTCTGGAGTGAAATCTAAAGATCCAGATGTTCGTATGGGCCTCAATCAACACTACCCAAGCTTTAAACCACCTCCGTTCCAGTATCACCATCGTAATCCTATGGGTATTGGAGTTACTGCAACAAACTTCACAACCCATAATATCCCACAGACTTTTACTACTGCCATTCGATGCACAAAATGTGGAAAAAGTGTTGATAACATGCCTGAGTTACACAAACACATACTGGCTTGTGCATCTGCTAGTGATAAAAAGAGATACACACCTAAAAAAAATCCAGTACCCCTCAAACAGACAGTGCAGCCTAAGAATGGCATGGTGGTTATTGCTGGGCCTGGGAAGAACGCCTTCAGACGAATGGGTCAGCCTAAAAGACTCAATTTCAATGTTGAGATTAGCAAAATGTCCTCCAATAAACTAAAAATAAGTGCATTGAAAAAGAAAAACCAGCTTGTACAGAAAGCTATCCTGCAGAAAAAGAAATCTGCCCAGCAGAAGGCAGAACTGAAAAATAACCCATCTGAGACGGACTCTCACATCTGCCCCTACTGTAACAGAGAGTTCACTTACATTGGGAGTTTGAACAAACACGCATCATACAGCTGCCCCAAAAAACCCATCTCTCCTTCCTCCAAAAAGAATTCTTCCAAAAAAAGTGCAGCTTCTTCACCTGCCAACAGTGACAAAGGCAGCAACCAGCGCAGGCGAACAGCAGATGCAGAAATCAAAATGCAGAGCACTCAGCCTCACCTGGGTAAGACGAGAGCACGAACCTCAGGACCTGCACAGCTCCAGCTCCCCTCTGCCTCCTTCAAGTCCAAACAGAACGTTAAATTTGTACCCTCCATGCGATCTAAAAAGCCAAATTCATCTTCATCCTTGAGGAACTCTAGTCCTGTAAGAGTGTCTAAAATGTCCCATGTTGATGGGAAAAAAACTAAGGTGGTTTCTAAGAACAATTCCTCTGGAATCTCCAGCAAAGCGTCGCGGAAATTGCACGTCAGAATACAAAGGAATAATAAAGCTGTTTTGCCAAGTAAATCTGCTGTGGCAAGTAAGAAAAAGGCAGACAGGTTCAGTGTAAAATCTAGAGAGAGGATTGGAGGACCAATCACACGGAGTCTTCAGCAGGCAGCAAATGCAGAAGCAGCAGAAAACAAAAGAGATGAAAGCAGTACAAAGCAAGAACTGAAAGATTTCAGGTAAGCATTTAATTTGAAGTTGAAACAACCCAGGAACACGTTGCTTGCTGTTTTGCTTGCTGGTATTTTTCTTTTTTTTTTTTTCTTTTTTTTTTCCTTTTTTTTTTTGAGTTTCTCATGCTTAAATAAAAAAAGAAGTTGCATTTCCTAAAACATGGATGAGCAGCTTACTGATGCTGAGGTATGATGTACATACTTGATGCATTTTGTCATGTCATGAAATATACACGGTTTGTATAGAGAATGTCTTTAATTATAAACTGAATTGAAAACTCTGGAAAAAAAATGTCAATACCTGAGTGGGAATAAACTTAATGTCATTAAACTCATTGTTATTGAAGACACTGACCTTGTATTTGGTATCTGACATCTAAGGTAGCCCAGAATCATTCTAGATTTATTTATGGTGGTTCACTAAGTTAAAAAACATGACTGCATTCTTTACTCACTAAAATGACTTGCTTTGGTAATAAAAGCATTCTCTGCATATATATATATATATATATATATATATATATATATATATATATATATATATGAAAGAAACAAACCATGACCAAATACTTCAAAAATGTATGTGCATACGGACTGAGATCGTAAAATACTTAATATAAGGGAAATAGACATGTAAGAAAAGTTACATGAACATGTAAATTTGTTAGAAGTATCATGCTTTTTATGTTTCACTATAAAACTTTATAATTAAAGTTCTATTTCTTTTTGAGAAGAAGCATTTTAATCACAAGAAAGGGTAATCCTTCAATAAATAAATAAAAATCTTAATCTATGTGCCTGAGTCCCGATTTACGTCTTCATGTAGTCTCTCAAATCAATAGTATATTTTGCACAGTGTTTATAACCTTTGTTACCTTGCTCCTGCCCTGTTTTTCTTGGAAATAGGCTCTGATTTGCTGAGGAACTTTCACAAAGCTCACTGGTAATTAAGAGTTCTTTTGGGGTTGGTAATTGCAGCGCCTGGCTGTGATTAACACCAGATTTAGGGCCAAGGGTAGGGTTTTTAATCGAAGTCATTACTAGAGGAGGAGGGGGAGGAACTGGCAGCCTCTATCAGAACAAGTAGAGCAAGATCTGTTCATTGTCAAAATCCAAACTGTTCACAGCTTGTGTGTCTTACAGTGAAGATCTCTGAGGTGCAAATAGTGAGGAAATACTTTTTAAAGTAAAGGTGTTCAATATAGCAGAATTATTCCCAAGTGCTGGAGGGGAATTTGACTTAAAATAATCCATACCCAAATTAGGATATGTTGAAGGAGAAAAATGTTATTGGAATTTGGAGACTAATGGTGTAAAAATGCCTTTTAGGAACAAGAAATGTCTACCAGGCCTGTTCCCTTGGGACATAAACATCTTCCTGTTAATTCTCATCAGCTGCTCTCTTAGTTATGTGTGAAACTATATTGAAATGGTGACAGAACAGATCAGTAGAAAAATAAGCCAAAACACCACATCTTTCCAGCTAAATGAATCATTTGACCTTAGGCAAAATATCCAAGTACTTGAAAATGGGTGCATATGGGAATTGTTGAGTTGTATTTGGGGAAATAACAATTGACCTGGGGCAAGGTTTCCTTGGCTGGCTCAAATACTTCGGTTTACTTTGGCTGCTTGGAGTCTTTATCGGTTTAACGAATGGTTACACCAGGGAATTCTTATTGTCTCTGAAGTAACTTTAGAAATCTAGATTGTCTACTCGAATTCTTTTTATATCAATTATACAGTGTGAAGAATTTTTCTCCTTCATACACTAATATCAGCACAGTTCAACTTTGGTTCTCCTCTATGTAGGCACTATTGGGTTTTGATTTTTTTTTCCCAGGAAATCTTAATATTTTTTAAAGACTTGCTTCATGTATATTTGTCTGCCAATTTGTTTTTCACCTTTCTGTTTTTCTGTGTAAACATACTTGTTCACAAATTGTTTTGTCATTTATCTTCAGTTTTTGTTTTGTTGGGTTTTTTTTATTAATTTCTGTTTTCTAGGAATCTCCTATAAAAACAAAACAAAAAATCCCTTAATGCCATGGTAGAGCTGTTGCATGCTCATCTTAGGATAAGCACTATGCCAAGGGATGTGAAATCCAAGCTTGTGAAACTCACAGAAGCTGAGTCACAACCATAAAATTGCCTGCAGGCTTCTTGCTCATGCTCAGTGTCGGGCCTAGATTTTCTTACTTTGTGCTTGCCACACGGGATGATTCAGATTAAAGCAAAGAGTACTGTTAAACACAAATAAAACCCCACAGGAAATCATCAGAAGAAACAGTGGGATTAAGTGAACCAAATCTTTTGCTCTTGATTTTGTCCGCACCTTTGCGGATGGTGTTGGGCAGTTCAGTTTCTGTGCTTGGCAGAGCAGGTTCCTTCAGCCTGTCCAGAAATCAGCAGAAATCAGGGCCAACAATTGCTGCACTCTGAGTATTTTTGCCATGTATTAGGTCTCTTAAAGCCTTTTGTCTAAATGAGTCACTAGAGGCCAACTAGCACGGCAGAATTACCTTCCCACCTTCTCCTCACTTTGAGTCTTTTAGATGTCCAGTATACAGTGGAAAAAAGCCTGATTTGGATGTTTTATGGATTTTCCAAGTGCTTATTTACACATGCAAATAAAACTTTATATAGCAGTGATGAATTTCTAAACACCAGATATATAATGGATGCAGTGTATCTTTTTATGGATAAGAAGGTTAGAGCAGGGCTGCAGACCTGCATATTTTGAAAATGAAATATATAATTATTCTAAAAGGTTGTATGCCGCTAATTTAAGACAATGAATTGGTTTATTGTTCATAACAGCTTTTAATGGAAATACTGTTTGTCACGTGTTCATAGAACTTTCACGATTAATGACAAGAATGGATGGGAAGTTACTAGTTTCTTTATACAGACACCCCTTTTATTTTTTGTTCTTAAAAAGTAATCTACCTCTTTGAAATTTGTAGTTTAATACTTGTTTGGTGAATTTGTGCCACTTTAACTTCACTTTCACTATCATTCCCATTTTGTTACATTTATGTTATGGGGACTTTATGTTGAAATATTGTATAAAGCATTTGTAGCAAGTTTAAGAAAATAAAATATTTAAAATTATTTAAATTGTTTTGGACACTTCAATTGTACTATATGTGATTTACATTTTACATTAATTTCATTTTGTTTTCATTTTGGGTTGTTAATCTTGGAGCATGTTCCTGTATTAAAGTTTGCTGTTAGGTATATTGTTTCTTCTATTGGAGAGTGATATAAAGATTATTCTAATGAAAACATTAAAAATTGCAATTTGACATAAAAGTGGGGTTGTCCTTGCTTTTGAATGCTGTAGCTTTGCTGGAGGGCTGTAAATGCAGGTCAGCAGCTGAAGAGGGATTTTCTCCTCCACGTGCCGTCCATCCTGTGCTGTAAGTTCCAGTTGTGGTTACAAGTCCGTGGTGTTGCAAGCACTTAATGACCAACCAGGTGGAAATATCGTGATGGAAATATCCTGACACCTTTTCTAAGACCAATAAAGTAAACTTTTTAAAAACTTGGGGGGAACTTGCCTTTTGTGTGGGGTGCAGATGTGCCAGGAACAATGAAACAGTGTTCATCTAGGAGGAACTAAATGTGCTTGTATCCTTCAGTTGTGTCCCCCTGGTTCAGTGACATGAGTTTATATCAATTGGCCACTTCTGACTTAGCTTGAGGATTTTAGGTTTGAATTGTGGACACAGCTAATAAATTTAAAGTATTTAGATTAAAATTACAAACACTATTTCAACTCCTGATACTGTTGTTTTGTGGTTTTCGGATATTACAGTTTTCTATTTTTATATGCTTTGAACTTTTTAAATAGTCCAGTAATAAAAATACATGCAAAGGTTTTTTTTTTGGCTCTTGAGAATTTTGGAATGTTGTATTCCACAACCAAGATGTGTGTTCTGCCTCTTCAGTGGAACTGGAAGCATCTCTGCCCATATTAGTGTGGCAGTGGGGTGGAATAATTTAACATTGATAAGGTTAAGCAGCATTATAGCAGTCAGTTCCTTCACATGCTTCCAGCTAATCTAGAAGTAAGTTACTATTTTATGTAGTTGTCTGTTCAAATTAATGCTTCTGTCTGAGTATGACTTTTTGGTAAGAACTCCCAGTTTATTTTTTCACGTGGGATGTCATTCCTTGAACGTGTTCTGTCTACAGCAACATTTCCCTGAATTTTAACTGATGGGGGAAGATCTGGTGGAATGATGCAGAGGTTCCAACGTGGTTCATGGAGTGTTTTTGCACTCAGTGCAGTTTGGGGTTTGCACCACAATGGAAGAGGTGAATCCTTAGTCTCCTTACAACAGCAGTTAAACCAAGGAGGTGAGAGGAAGCTGCAATGAAGGTTTTCAGTCTTGATTAGGTTTTACTATACCTACCCAAGGGAAAACATCGCTTTCCATACCCAGTGTTATATTTGGAGGTTTTATAAGAAAAAGGAAATGTGAAAAAAAAAGTGAAAACTCATAGTTTTGAGATTGCTGAGGATGGGACATAAACTTCGTTCATTATTTCCAATCCTTTACTGATAAAGGAAATACCACTTGTTTGCTCTTGCTGCAGTATTTCAGTCACCTTGTAAGGATTTATTAACCATGTCTAGCAGTGAACTGATGGTGTGTAAACCAGCCTCATTCTCTAATGTCATGGCAGAAATCCTCTTGCCATTTTATGTGAGCTTTCTCTGCTGTGATGTTAAATCCTGTTGGTCCCGAGGATGTGCCACACTGAGATGTTCACCTGTGTTCTCCAGTTGATCAGGGAAGTGCTGGGTGATGGAGATCTCCAAATGAGAAATGATCATCAAAGAGTTTCAGCCCTAAATAGGTGACTCATCACAAACAGAAATGTGCAGCTTTCATAGTTGCTATTGCTATTGCATCTCATCTGCATAATTGAATTTCTCTGGGATCTGAAGCAACAATAAAGCTGTAACGTAGCCCACAAAGTGCTGACACGTCTTGAAATGCATCCAGACAGGCAATGAAAACAATTAAACTTGTCCTGTTTACAGAGACCAAGTGACAACGCTGGGTGAGATCAAATGAGTGTCTGTTTAATAAAAACAGCGATGCTGGAGTTGTGGAGAGGGAGATCTGACAGCTTGTGTTTACCTTGTTTTGTTTTCCATTTTCCAGTTTGCTGGAAGGCATGAGAACCACCTTGTGGCAGCAAGTGTGAGCTGTGTTCAGTCCTAGCTCCTCAGCCCTGGAGGGAGCTGCCCAAGGGGATTCAGGCTGGGCTGTTTCTGGTTCTCTGGTTTGTCAGCATTTTCTTTTGCAAGGCTGTTATTTAAAATTCTAGTTTGGTTCCTGGTGATTTTCTCTGGGGAGATGTCAATAGAGTTTGATGTCTAAATGCTCAATATTGAATGCAAATAGGAATAGCATTCACTTCATTTACTGTGGTTTGTGACTTCATTTCCAAAATTATGGGCTCAGCTCCAGGTATTCACTGGAGTTGGGTTTAGCAAAGGGGCTGAATTGCTAGAGACAGACAAATAGCTTGTGAATGACCTTAAAAAGAGAACTTAGAAGACCTTACATACTAATTCTGGCTTTTATTTACTGAATGTGATCTGCGTGAGTCACATGGTGATGTAGTTCTGCTCATGATGAAAAGGAGCTAAACAACAGATAAACAATAAACAAGCACATGCTGGTTTGGAGCTGAGCTTTTGTGGTAAGTCTATGATGAGAGAGGGGTGAACTTCCACATCTGTTTAATTAAACTGTAAAAAATAGCAGCTTCCTAGTAGAAAAGAATGGTGAGGAAAGTATTTCACAGCAAGATGCAAATAAAACACTCTTAAATAAGGCATGGTATAAGTGTATAGTTATGGTCCATTGCACACATCAAATGAGAGAGTGGGAATTGAATGTTATTGAGGAGGGATCTTTTTTCCATGTGTATGAATGAGTTGCTGCTATTTTCTAAGCTTTGGGACCTTTTTTCTTCAATTTAAGTCATGTCTTACAATATTTTTGGAATTAAATAAATACTAAGGTAAGAGACTGCAGCAGGAGTTGGTGCCTCTTTGTGCCCATCAGTTCCAGTCAAGCAAGGGTTAGATGTTTAAAATGCAAGTAGATTGTTAGAGTGGTGATGATCCAGTGTCTTACACAAGATTACTGGCAGAACACAGGACCAGGAGTCCTGTGCTGCCTCTGCACCACTGCCTACCTACCTCTGACCCTCTTCTTGAGTAAAGAGGAAGCCACTGAGTCACCTCTGTGTGCTTCCCACACATATTTCATCACTTTCCATTCTCATTTGCTGCACCTTTACTTCTCGTAGTAAGTCTTTAAAAATTGTTTTGGTAGATCATACTTTCAGAGCATTCACTGGGAAGAGAATACTGAAATCCTGCTTTCTGGATTTTTCAGATACAGACAGCAAAACAAACTCAAAGGGAAGCTTGAGCAGGCATCAAGTTGGAGGGAAGCTTTTTCTTAAGAGACAGGTAGCGGCTTCATTTTCCTAATTTATTCAAAGCTCAAGTGGTTAGTGAAACATAATGTAATCAGCAACATGCACTTTGTTTATGTATATGTGTATATATATATATATATATATATATATGTTTAATTTTTTTAAGACTTTCATGTTTCATGAACCAAACAGGGTCTCTGAGTTATGTTTTGGATGACAGCACTCCCAGAAACTGCCAGGGGGTTGTGAGAAATGGCTTTGGTTGTTCAGCATTTCTCTGAAGTGCAAGGCTCGGTGTTCACTCATTCATGGTGGTCTGGCACACAGCAGGTGAGCAGCAAAACTGAGACTCGCAGCACTCAAAGCCCCGTGTCAGTCAAAAAGAGTAACAATCTCATAACTGAGCCTGTTTCAGCAACTCCTGCCTTGCTTCCAGCTGGGAGCTGGGAGCGGGGGGCTCAGCCTGGAGAAAAGTGTCTCAGTGGAGACGCCCACCAGGGCCAGTTTCTCTCTGTAATTCCCTGACAGGAGGGTGCAGCCAGCTGTGGGTGGGCTCTGCTCCCAGGGAACAAGGGGCAGGACAAGAGAAGTGGCCTCAGACTGTCCCAGAGGCTGCCCAGGGACATGGTGGTGTCCCCATCCTGGAGGTGGCCCTCAGTGCTCTGGGCTGGGGGACAAGGTGGGGACAGGTCACAGGTTGGACTCGGGGGGGATTTATGTAGTGCTTCCTTTAGGTGTCGAGATCTCTGCTCAGCATTGCAGTGTGGAAGGAGGTGGGAAGATGAGAAATACTGAATTCTTACATCACAGAGCTGCTTTGAAGAGTTTCACACTCAAACTCCACTGTTACTGGAACCTGAAGTTGTATTCTCCATTCATTATGGCAAATTCAGTATGTCACTCATTACCTTGTCAAATCACAAGTACACTTTGTTCTATGGTTTCTTTTTTATGTAATGAGATGTGCAGGACTGAGGACTCATCCTTGTTCTGCAGCCCTCTAGCAATCCTTTTCAACTCTTTTGGTGTCACCATTTCTGTATAAAGCTAATTAAATAAACTACAGTGTTCCCTATGTGTAATGAAAGTTTTCTCATTCTGTTAGGAATGTGATTTAGTAGATACAAACTTTTTCTCAAATCACATGACCTGACAGTATAGAAAATGAATTTGAGTACTTCTATTTTTAATCCCAAATTGTTCACCTTTTGGCTTGCAGAATACTCTGTGCCACTTTAAAAGGGCAGGAAGACAAATTGCTGACATGATACTGTTCATCTAAATTTATAGGTTTACCCCAAGGTTTCTTAAGTGACTTAAGACTCTTAATCTCTGAGCTCAATTTGAAGTAGCTTCAAGGCAACTGATTTTCTGAAGGAGCTCAGAAGTTATCTCAGTGCTGAATTCCTTTTCAAGTAGCTACTTTAGGTCACTGGTTGCTTTTGAAAAACACATTGTAAAACACCATTTTACTTAAATAGTAAATACATTAATTTTAGATTCCCCCAGGTGAGCTGCAGACACGGGGTGAGATTTTTTCCAGCAGTTCTCACTGTTGGTTTGGTGTTCATCACCACAATTCCTCGTGATCCACAGGGAGGGGAACTGAACCAGCAATGAAGGAACTGAAACTGTGGAGCACATGTGAACCAAAGCAATTTATGAGTTCCTGTGGGGCAGCAGTTGAAGGGATTCAGTTCTTTGAAGCACTGTGGCTGGAGAGTGCTGGTGGGTGTCTTCTTGGAAGTCGAGAATGCAAAGGATCTCAAGAACAGGTTTTTCCAGTTTAGATTCATGAAAGGCCTGACCATAATATTCATGTTCTGGCTTTTCACGCCATTGCTCCAGCTCTTTCCCTGCTTCCCTGAATAAACACACATAATTCTCCACATAGCCACAGCACAACACCTTAAGATCCTTTTTGCTTTCTGCTGCTTCCCCATTTTCTATACAGTGAGTCAGGACTTTTCCATACCAAAGGAGACATCCCTTTCAATGAAATTCTATCCATGATATTCTATTATATGAAATATTCTATACATGAAATATTCTATTTCATGTTTTTCCAAGTCATTTTTTTATATATTTACTTTCCCATTAAGCAGTATATTGCTGCCAGAGAGTACATTTCAGTCAGGGTAGCAGGACTGTGGTTTAATCTCACTGAGAGCAGAAAGCCCAGAAATGGCATTTATCCACCCCCTGAACCTTCTTGCTTCCCTTCTGCCCTGTGAAATTACTCAGCCTAATTCTGCAAAAACAAGAATTTGAGCTTAAACATCCACATTTCTATTTTTTTTTCCTAGGCAGTCAATGATTTATGTCAGCTTAGCTATTCTCTTACTTAAGAGCATGAAACACTTGATGAAATATGTTCCTGGAATGCTTATTGTTAAATGTAATGTGGAATGTGTCTGTGTCTGAAATTTTGGAGCATATCCTTGGGGTTATTTTAGATTATAGAGTAGAATCCTTGCAGGAAAAAAACAAAAAACAAACACTTTAATTGAGGTAAAAATGTGAACTTAATCACCTGATTTTTTACCACATACTGCCATGATTTTGTTCACTGAATTTCCCTGGCAGGACTGGCAGCCACCTCGGATCACTCCAGCCTCCATACCCACAAATACCATGGCTTATTTTTCTGGGACATTTCTAGAGAATTAAACTAGCAACTCAGGAGAACGTTAATTGAAGAAGTGTGGTAGAAGACAAGCTAATTTGAATAAAAAATACCAAATGTATTTTGGAAATGTCTTACGGAAGGGGATGTGCCAGGGTTTGGCATTTTTCCTGGAATTTGTGTATGCTGCTCATGGCAAGTCTCATGGGGAAGCCTGGGAAGGTATATGGAAGTAGGAACTTGGTTTGGACAAATTAAATATTCAGGAGACAATTTAACCTGGAACAATAATGCGGATAGTGTGGGAATCTTTTCCTTTGTTCAGTCCTCTGCTTTAAGGCTGCAGATTTTCTGAGTGACCTTGGCAAATCCCTTCTCACCTGACTCCGTTCTGGATCTGAAAAACTGGGATTATGGTACTGACTCTTACTACAAAACACTTTCAGATTTGAGGATGGAAAACTTTAAGAGATGAGATTTACCATATTTTTTTATTGTAGGGAGTCTCACTAAATTGGGTGATTTATCTCTTCTAGTTTGGGTGTGCTCTCAGTGTGAGAGAGAGCTTTAAGTCCTGTCTCCATGTAAAAAATAACCTCATGTAACTTCTGAGTTAGCTTTAATTTATGGAATAGCTGGTACATCTACCAAACTATTTAGTTTGGTTCAAAAGTCCTTAGTTGACAGAGAAAACTTTGTGCACACAAGTCCTTTCTGCTACCTGACATTTGGGGTCTGGCCCTTACAAGCAGAGTATGTTTTCTGATGTTATTATTTTTTTTTAATGACTTTTTTTCTGGCTGGAAGTGCTCCCTAGCAATGGTTCTGGCAGAGCTGGGCCATCCTGGGCTGTGCACAGGGGTGTGAGGGGCTGGGAGGAGCCCTTGCCCCTTCCCATGGAATCATCCCTCAGCACAAGCTGCCTCAGAATTCCTTTTCCTCGCCTGTCTCCAGTTACCCAGCGCTGAGATGGTGCAAGCAGGTGCAAAGTGATAGTGATAAAAATAGCAATTTCAATCACTGCTCCTCATGCAGTGGGGGGATCTCAGCTCCCCTCCCTCTCAGAGCCCAGCTCCCCTCGCACTCCCAGGAGTTTGTCAAAATCCTCCCAATATTCCAGCTCTTCTTTCACCAGGCTCTTCAATAAGAGTTATCCATCCACTGCAGGTTAGTGCTGTGATTCCTGGCAGCTTTGGCAGAGCAGACACAGCTCTGTTTTGGAGCACTGTGGAACGGCAGCAGGAAGAACTCCATAAGGAACTCAATTTCATTTTCTGTTTAGAAAAATATCCTTTTTTAAATCTCATTCCTCTAATCCTCAGCTTCCAAATAACAAGACATGATCTATTTGCTTTAAAGCTTGAGGAAATTAGGAGTGAAAAATCATAGAATTCTGGAGTAGTCTGGGACATTAAATCCCATTTCTTTCCACCCCCCTGCCATGGCAGGGACACCTTCCACTGTCCCAGGCTGCTCCAAGCCCCCACCCAACCTGGCCTTGGGCACTGCCAGGGCTGTGCATTTGAAAATCTAGATCAGATTTTCCCTGGTATTTATTCTCTTTGGATTTGAACCTTTTAACATTTTTTTTCTTTAGGTTTCCCATAGGATCTAGTCCCTGCCTCACTGCATGCAAGAGCTCACAGATGTCATCGATTATAGAAGAACTTTAAGAAGTCATAATTAATATTTTGACAGAAAGCATTACTTACATGGAGACATTCTAAACAGAAATAATCTAAAATTTCCCTCTTATAGTAAAAATCTGAAGCCAAACAAACTAAACTTATTTTGGATATTCTGCTGTTTCCCTTGGTAACAGTCCATATATGGAAGAACAAAAATCTGGCTGTTGTTGACCTCCCCATTTCCACTTTCTGGTTCCTCCACATTGGCTGAAGGTTTCAGGATTGAATTCACAAAGGCTGGAGTGGATGATTTACATAGAACAATAACAAAACTTTTGGCAGGCAATTTTAACCACCAACTTTAATTTGAAAATAATTGAATTGCTTGCTTTTCAGAATTTCTGTGGTTTTGGTTTTCTATTGTAATGGAAAGTTTTGCACTTCTTCATGTCTAACTTGCAGTTACATTTTGTGTAAGGACAAGCTGAAATCTCCTTTCAAGGGTGTGTATTGAACTCTAAAAATAACCTGGAGAGAAACCTGGCTTTTAACTTTTTTTAGACGTGTTGCTGTGTAAGAAAATGATATTTCAAAAGACGTTCCCCTGGAAGAACATAAGTGGTTTGGTTTGGTCAGAATTTTGAAGAATTTGCCTTGAGAAGGAAGGTATGTAATAACCTATGGGGGTGCACAGGTGTGAGGGAAGGCAGACAAGTTTGTGCATGATAGCAAAAGGTGCTGAATTTAAAAACAAACAAGGGATTTATTTTTGAATCTTTTAGTGTATGGAAGTTTGACTTGGGTGTACATTTGAACTGATTGTATGTCTAGAATAGGGCAGCAGCAGTTGGACTTCCCTTGCTTCAAGTCATGTGTTCTGGCTTTCTTCTTGAAGTCACAATCAACTGATGCAAAAAATCAAAATTTTACAGTAAAAATCTCTGATTTTCACTTTCCCTTTGGGACTCTTAGTTTAAAATTAGAAGTGCAGTAAAGGCACTGTGGTGACCTGTGCGTGTCCTTGTCGAGTCTGTCGGTGCAATAGTGACAGGAGTGTTCTGCCAACCTTGACCTGGGCAGAAATGACCAGATGTGGTATATGCTCTGGTAAGGTAAAACTCCTTTTCCAAAAATATGTGTTTTAAAGCTTGATATGGACTGTCCTGAGAGAATAGAACATGACTGTTGCAGTTTCTGATGTATCTGTGCGTTTGTCTGGCCCGGTCAGAGGGTCTGGGACATGGGATGGGAGCCTGGCCACTGCTTCCAGTTGACATTATCTGTTTCCTGCTTAAATAAACTCACAGGGTAAGTTGAGAACAAGGCAAAAATACCCTCCTGCCTTCAGAAGTGGCACTTGGTACTTCTCACAGCTCACTAAAGCACAGCTCTGGCTTTGCTTGTGCCCGGTCCCTGATGCTCTTCTGCCTCTGTGCCCAGCTGCAGGCTCCGCATGGCCTCTAGATGTCCCTCCTCCTCCTCGCACAGCCCCAGCAGATGTGGTGGAACCTGGTTTGTGTTTGGGCTCTGAATTGCTCTGGAAGACTGAAAGCTCTGTTGTCTGCCTGCCATGTAAAGAAAAAGAACAACAATAAATTAATGTGGAAAACTGCATTGTGGAAATATTTCTTGTTATTTCAGCCAAGGAGGTCTTAAAAATGGAGACTGACTGTGCTCTAGCTCTGAAACAATGGAATGGTTTGGGGTTTTCCTGGTGGGTGGTGGAGAGGAAGAAGGAGATGTGAGTGTTGCCTCGCTCTGACAGGTTTGGTGCACACAGACAGGGATTCATTCTCCTGACAGCTCCACGAGCCCTTTGCAGTGTGGCCTCTCCATCCCAATCCAAACCTCCTCCTGAGTGTGCCAGCATTGTGGAGCTCCAAGGCAGCTGTCCTCAGTTGGGAGGGGAATGTTCAGGCACTGGGAGGGCTCTTTCCTTCCTAGGAGTGGTCCCTAGGAATTCTATATATTGTGAAGTCAGAAATAAAGTTTCATCCTTTTGCTCCCTTTTACTCTTTTAATCTTAGTGTACATGCATAAGTTAGTTCATGTTGTAGTTCCATGTTTCATACATCGTGTGCCATCACAGCACACTGAGACACTTCCTGCTTGCTTCAAGGCTGTGGGATTTGGCTCTTTCCATAGAATCCCAAAGTGGTTTGGGCTGGAGGGACCTTAAAGCTGATCCCATTCTCCCCCTGCCATGGGCAGGGACACTTTCCACTACCCCAGGCTGCTCCAAGCCCTGTCCAACCTGGCCTTGCACACTGCCAGGGATGGGGCAGCCACAGCTTTGTGCCACAGCCTGTGCCAGGGCCTCACCACCCTTCTTTAAATCTACTCTAAATGGACCCTTCCTCAGCTGAAAACCCTGTAAGGGAATCACTGAGGGGGATGGCAGCCATTGTCATGGGTGCATTAATCCAGTCACATTCCTTAAAAACGACAGCAGGTGCAAGAAGTAGGTTTGGGAACAGCTGAATTTGATGTATTAAATTAATTTCACATAGGCTAAAAATGGCTCTTTCACCCCAGAAAATCTGAAGGTTCCTCATGCATTATAAATCTGCCTCTTAGAGAAAAGCCACTGCTGTCACTGTCGCCTGCCAGTGCCTGCAGCAGCCTGACAGGCAGCCTGGCTCCTCTGGCAGTGTCACAGCCTGTTTGGCTTTCAGTTTCAGGTAAGTTGGAAGGGATTAGACTGTGCTGAGCTGTCATTCCGCCCCTGCATGAGAGCCTGGAGAAATATTCTTTAAATAGCTGCATGCCTCCATTCTTCTGTCTGCGCTGTCACATGAGGCAGCACTAATTACTTCTTTTTAGAAGAGCTGTGGCTTTTTTTGGGAGATAATTCAAGTAAACGAGTAGGCCTTGATGAAGTTAGGAGTTAGTAGTTAACTAACAATTGATTGCTTGTCAGCACAATGTTTATTTAGCTGGGTTTATAATGAAGAATACACAAACTGACAAAGAGCTTTTAGGAACATAAGACAGTTGTGGGCCTCCTCTGTTCTGAAACCAATTGAAGACAAGGAATGGGAGTTCTACCAAGAGTTCATTTGTCATATTGGCATTGAAAAGGTAGAAAGGTCAGAACGAGGAAGACTTCATTTACTTCCTCATTTTGGGACCCCTCCCCATGAAAGGAACTCCCGATCCATTTCAAGGTACAAACCACGCATGCTTAATAGCTTTTGAAATTATTAGCATACAAAGCGAGGAATGGGATGCACCAAAATTATAATATGTATTTTTATTTTGGGTATTCAATACTTGTATGGATAAAAGGGCTCTGTAATCACCTGGAAGCTGTGGTGTGGATTTGGGAGCAATCCCACACACAATAAACACACACTTTCTAACTTTAAACTGTTAGAGAGTTTTTGCCTGTCACAGTTGGATATCGGTACTAGATCAATAACCATATTTTTTTAATAAATCAATGGAGCTGCACATCCAGCACTGCTGAGCAGCATTTCCCTGGGCTCTGAGCAGCTCTGAGACTCTCCCTGGCTCACAGCTCACAGCCAGCCAAGGTCACTGCTCAGAAGCTGCTGCAGTGCTGTGACACACCAGGGATGCTCCAGCCCCAGGGGCACTGACAGAAATAGTGCTGAGCCTCCTGCTGCAAGGCACATTCCCTGTGGTGCAGGGATGTGTCGTCCTGTTCTTTGGAAAGTTTTAAAGTTCTTTTAGAAGTTTTCTATGCCTTCTAATGTTAATGTTTATTTCTACTGAAGTTTCACACACACTATCATGTAAATAATAACTTTTTTACATTCTGCTTTGTGAGAAGAGAGAATTGATAGACTGTTAGTTTGACCAGTGTAGTTAGAAAAGTAGAAGTTTCATCCTCCAATCCACTACCACTCCTTGTTTTTCCATGTGGAATGTGTTTGGAGAATTGTTTCCCTGGGGTGATTGCTTGATTGGATTCTGGTGAGGATTGTTTGAGCCTGATGGCCAATCCAACCCACCTGGGGCTGGACTCTGGAGAGAGGGTCATGAGTTGTGTTAGAGTTAGAGAAAGTTTGTAGTTTTATTATCTTCCTTTATATAGCATATTCATATATTTTAGCATAGTTATAATAAAGAAATCATTTAGCCTTCTGAATTGAGTCAGACATCATCATTTCTTCCCATTGAATTCACCTGCATTTACAAAACCTGGGGTGTTGTGGTAAGCACAGAAACCCAGAGGAGGAAATCTGGCATTGGATGAGGTGTGGGACTCAGCACAGCAACACAGGCATCAGCTGTGAGGAAAATCCAGGTAAGCTGCAGTGAGGTGGAAAATGTAATTTCTTAGGAACAAAATGTACTGAGCTAAACTGAGCATCCCTTGGAGTGTGTCCAGAGAGAAGGGAAGGCTCTGGTGAGCTCCTCTGCTCTGGACCTGCTCTGGGGTCACTGGGGGAGAAGCTGGTGGTGCTGAGCAGGGACACAACTCCCAGACCAGCCCAAACAAGAGGGTTTGTTTTCTTGCTTTCTGGTTTTTGGGGATGTGGGCTGGCTGGATGCAGTGGCAGGGAGCTGTGAGCAGTGGTGTGAAATGGAGCGTGGCCTCCTGTGTTGTGTAACCCCTCTGCAAATCCAACAGCAAACAGCCTTTAACAGTTCCCCACTTTTCTCCCTTTTATCCCCAGAGTGCCTCTCCCTCCAAAGTCCTCAGCACCTGCAGCAGACAGGTTACCTGAGATTATTGGGTTGTTTTGGTGATTTAGAACCTCCAATGCACTCTCCCAATGCACAGTGGAATTGGGGAGAAGGAAAAATATATCTGTGAGCTCATCTGCAACACTAAAACCCCTGACATCTTGAAGCTGGAAAAGTTTTGCTAAGGAAATAGAGAAAAAAGATTTACAGGTAGCCTCTTGCATAATTTTTTTCTTTCCTGAATTATGCTTTATTATTTCAGAGCTAGATGCAGCTCTGCAGTGGATTCTGCAGAGAAGTTACCAAACAGCTCAGGGAGGATTTCATGTGACACAGTCAGGGAGAGCAACAGGCACAGTTAAGGAGGAAGAAAACAGCCACGGGAATAAACACCTGAATGTTGAAAACATATGGACCAAATGGCCCAATTTTTGCTTTCCCCCATGTGGTAGACAGGAAGGTCAGGTTGAATCTCTTATTTGTGTGAGGGCAGAAATTGTTCCTGCGTCTTTAGTGAAATAAATATGTGAAGTTTGTTTATTTATGGTCTGTTTGGATTCTGACAAAGATAATCTGAACTGAAAAATTATATAAATCATAGAATCCTAGACCAGTTAAAGGATGATTTAAAGGGCATCTAGCCACGAGCAGGGACATCTCCATTATATTGCTCAGAGCCCCATCCAGCCTGACCTTGCATGTTTACAGGGCTGGGGCACCACAGCTTCTCTGGGCAGCCTGTGCCAGGGCTTCTCCACCTCAGTGTAAAATATTTGTTCCTTAAATTAATGTAATATCTGAGGGGTAAATACAATAACCCGGCTAGGTTGGGGTTTTGTGGACAGCTCCCTCTCGGTGATGCTGCCCCAGGGGCTGGGCGCTGACGTGACTCCAATTCCCCCTGCTCGGAATTTTCCAGCTGCTCCCGGCTCTTTCTGCATCCTTGGGCTGCAGAAGAGGCTGCGGCCAGCCCTGCCTGTACCTGCAGGCACCTCTCATCCTCCGGGCGTGCTGCTGCTGCAATCTGAGTTTCTCATTTCCACCTGCCTCACCGTGTGTTTTCCTAACCACGCGCTAAGGTTTTTTTCCCAGCAGACTTTCCCAAAAAAAGCTCTGATGACTCACGGCCGACAAATTCCTGCAGAGCTCCCGGAGTCAGCATCCTTTGCGTTGGCAGAGGGAGCTTTTCAAATAAAGATGAATCAGCGCTGTCAGACTTTGCTGGGAGTTAATTCTTGGCCCCTTTTCCCTTGGAAACAGCCCTGGCTGGTGCTTTACACGGAAGGAATTCCAGCCAGGCATCTCTGCGGGATGCGGGCACCGCGGGCAGGTTTGGGAGCTTTCCTCTTGTCCCTGGAGCATCCCGGCGGGCAGGAGGGTGTTAGAGCAGCTGGGGGGTGGTTAGAGCAGGCAGGAGAGGGTTAAGGGATAGTAAGTAGGGACAGAATTGTATTATTTCATAACGCGTCGATTAACATCTGAATTGGACCAAATTACCGGAATTGTCCAAGGCGGACGGGCCACCTTTAGTTAACCCGGAAAAGGAACATCTATTATTTATATGTGTTCGAAAAATAGCCCGGAGGGGGTTAAGGCAGGCAGGAGGGGGTTAAGGCAGCCCAGAGGGGGTTAGGGCAGCCCGGAGGGGGTTAGGGCAGCCGGGGGATGGTTAGGGCAGGCAGGGGAGGGTTAAGGCAGCCGGGAGAGGGTTAAGGCAGCCCGGAGGGGGTTAAGGCAGCCGGGGGATGGTTAGGGCAGGCAGGAGGGGGTTAGGGCAGGCAGGAGAGGGTTAGGGCAGGCAGGAGAGGGTTAGGGCAGCCGGGGGATGGTTAGGGCAGCCCGGAGGGGGTTAGGGCAGCCGGATCCTCGGTCCCTGCCTGAGTTAGCGCTGCCAAGCACCTCCAGAAGCGCTCCAGGAGCAGCCGCTGCATCCGGGCAGGCACTGCAGCAGGGCAGAG